AATAATCATTTGACCTAATAAAATAATATTCTATAATGAGAGGATAATTTGTGTACCTTACCTTAAAATTTAAATAATTGAATTAAATAAGATTACGGTCAAAACTATGTGATGAAAAGTATGAATTTACTAACTAAAATAAGAATATAATACCAACTAAATATGGAAATGAATGAATGAATTGATAAAAAAATAATATTTCGATAGGGTAAAGACGACATATAGGACAAAGTATGTAGGGGCAGATCTGATCGGACTAGATGAGAGGTAGGGCAAAGCAGTCGTGTGGACAGTGATGCTGCTGCAGATGAAGCTTCTTGCGAAATGCTAATGTTAACCAATGGTGGTGGTATCTGGACCAATCACGGTCTTGGTATACGTGGCAACTTCTGGGGAGTTTTGGTTTAAGCGTTGAGGTCGGTCGAATACCATATGGTATCCGGAAAGTGACCCCAATGAGAAGACACCACGATCTCTTGCTACTTGCCCGACCGTACCTGGCTTCCCTATTACTTTCAATTTGGTCCCCATCTTTTAATTTTTTTTTTAAAGATGGATACTTTGTATTGAAGACACCACCCCATAGACCTCATTAAAAAATTTATCTAAACCTATTGGAGGGAAAAGAGTATACCATGAGGTGGAATAAAACAAAAATCAGAATTCACAAATAACAATCAATATAGCACTCCAATCCGACCCACGAAATAATTGGATCCGTGCTACAAAGAAACTACACTGCCTGAGATACAAATTACCAAGACACATCTAACCTGATGAAAAGCAATAAGCTTCAAACGAGAAACTAAAACCAGCCGTAAAGAAACACATGTGGAAGGACTGAGGAAAACTAGCCACAAGAACTCCTGCGTCAAGGACCTAAGCAGAACACAACAAATGCAACATAAAAGAGAAACCTCGGACTTCATCCTACATCCTGGATACAAGGGAGCTTCACTAGCCACTCAAAGATCAAACGGAACTCTAGTGTGCAAATCCAGCAACTCAAGAACGAACAACCAGAAGGACTAAATGATGGAGCCATTAACGCTATAACAACAAGAAGAACTCAACACAAAGCTCTTCGAAAGCCTCCAAAATTTGGAGTGCCCATCTTTTAATTGTAATTGTATAAATTTGCACAAACTAAGTGATCTAAATGATAAATAACTTATTATTATTTTTTGAGAACCTAAGTTTAAATACCATAAATATTAAGAGTGTAAGCACATTCATTATCAAATGGTTAAAAATTATTTTTAAACATATATTATATTTTATTTACTCTAAATCAATAAAAAAGAATTGGACGAATCCCCTCAGTCATCGTTATCCTTTTCAATACTTCAATTTAATCCATATTTGACTGGCCAAATTTTGATGGGAATAATAATTGTTCGATTATCTGAACGTCTCTTGAATTGAATAATAAATATTAAAAATATATATTTTTTATAATTTTATAATTCTTATAAATTAAATATTATTTAGGAAAATAAAACTGACACATTCTGAAAATGCCACGTGTCAATATATTCTTTACATTGTCAATTAAACAATGTGTAATAAAATAATATTTTAAGTATCAAACCGGAAAAAAAATATATGAAAATTAAAATGGAAAATTGTATCAAACAACACTCATCATTTCCAATAATGCAAAAATTAAGAGTTATTATTGAGTCACATAACTACTCGATTTGACTCTCAACACATGATTTCATTTTCAATTCAGTTCAATAAGAATATAAAGTACAGTTTATAGAAATTGAAGTGTCTCCTTTTAAGTTGGAAGTAAAATCACGATTAGTAATATTGTTTAAAATAATAATGGCAGAGAAAATTATTCCTCATTCAAAGAGGAAAAAGGGATTTGTCAACCGTTCCTGTTCACGTGATGTTATATTAAGGTTTTATTACAAAATAAGTATATAGTTTGCATTTTTTTAAATGCTAATATTTATTTTTTTAAATTAATTTGTTATATTTATTAAAAATTTATTACCCGTCATTATGTATTCTAAATCCTGTAAATTTTACTCAACTGTCATTATAAGTGAAAAAACAAAATTAAAACTGATTTTTGAAAGTTGAGTGTTTAATTTCACTTTTATAATTTCAATTTTGTAAAATTAAAAAAAACATAGAGTAAAATGAAAATATTTGAAACTAATTTGTAAAATCTGAACATACTTCAAAAATATCATTATAAATAAACAAGCTAAAATTAAAAGATAAATACTTAATAATTTTATTTTAAATGCAATACCCAAGAGAAATTTGATTAAACATGGGGAATTTTAATTTATTCTTATTTTTATGGACTTTAATATTTGACATAAATGGATTGCATGGTCATGATAATTGACCATCAATCATTATTTTTATAGTAACGCATGATACATCAGATTATCAATGTGGGGGATGGATCAAGAGATGGGGTCTCCAATGATGGATGGCTTGATCATGACCCAATAGACCCACGTATACATGTATTGGGTCCCAAATGAAGAAGGCCCCATTGCTTTGATCTCAATCTCATCCTTCAATGTTGTACTCCTTGTAGGTCATCTCCTATATTTCTTACTCTCTAATTTGTCAATTATGTTTTTGAAGATTTTTTTATTCCTTCAAAAATTAAAGTATATAAAGTATTGTTTATCATATAATTAATTTATCTATAGGTGAGATTTTATCTTTTGTATTTTATTAGAAGTCATTATCAATTTATAAAATTAAGAACGTTTCAAATATCTGTATAAATATGATTTTATATGTAAATATTTTCATTCAAGTTATGAGTATTTACGCAATATATGTAAATTTTATGTAAGACATGTCCATTTTTTAACCCTCTATCTAACTATGATGGTTTGAATACGTAGGATTCATCAACAGTTTTTAATGGAAAATTTGCTTTTCCACGAAACTCGACGTACATGCAATTTGCTAAAAAAAATATTTTTTTCATGCAAACCCTAATCCTAGTTATCTCCCTACTTATTGAAATTAATAATAATAGAGATAAGATGTAGGGAATCTTTTCCATCATATTGTTCTAACATAAACAGGGAATTGCTGAAGCATAGTCTTTGGTCCTGCTCTGTAATGTTAAGTTTTGTTATTTTTTTACGGAATAATAGATTGAATTCGGATATCTCAAAAGGAAACAAACAAAAAAAGGAAATGATTGAATATTTAGGCTGTGGTGATAATATATAATAATAATGAAATCTGTCGGTGGAGGAGTCCTTATGACTATGAGGAGTCTAAATCGGCATACCCAGCCGCCATGATCCCGCACACTGCCTATTACTATGTATGAGCTTCTCCTGTTTTCGCTTTATATCTGATATAGTGAAGGTATATAATTTATAAAATATTAATAAATTTAAATTTAAATTTTTATAATATAGAAATATTAAACTATATATTAAAAAGTTTATGAAAAAGGAAAAGGTCATTGCCTTTGGGATGGAAGATGTGGAAATTCTACGTTTCTCAACTTTCCTGAAATGAAAAAAAAAATCTATCTACTTTGCTTACAAATCTGTCAAAAAGACCAGTTTTCATTTGTTCAAGGAAGCTGTCTGTATAAACCGATTAAAGTAGGTTGAAAAATTAAGCAATTTGCTAATTGTGTTACGATCTGGATTCAAGTAATGGATGCCCTTGTGGATTAATTATTTTGTATAGTTATAGCTTAAATGTATTCTAATTATTAATATGATGGTGTTTTATAATTAATTTTAGTAATGAATATTTATCATATATAATTATAATTGAGATGTTTATAATTATGTTTATAAGTTTGAAAAAGAAAATCGATAATATAATAAATGGGAAATGACGAAAATGGGTATTTAATCATCATCTTCCTTGCATGATTTTGCGACATTTTGGGACCCATAAAAGATGGCGTACAGATCTCTTATCTAATACAATTGTGGCAGATGCAGATGTTGCATATAATGGGCCATGCACACGAATTGACTCCAACTTGTTTTCACCGTCGATCAACCAGATGATACCCTTTTCTTGTCCATCAGTCGATGTCAGCCGTCGATCCCGATCTTTAATCTCCTGCATGGGACCCTTCCAAATAAATGGGGTCCAACTCCAAATCCCAGGAAACCTCTTCATCTGGCTAAACTTCGTAATGATTTCCTTCAACAACAAAAAAAAAAAGTAAGAAAGTACAGTGGTGCTTTGCCCTGCCGTCTGCCGCCATTGATCAAATGCTATGCAAGTAATTGGTCAAATTGTGTAAGAATGAATACCAAAAAAGTTGGTCCTTTCCAAAAAAAATAAATAAAGTGACTAAAGTTAGTGAAATTATACTAGAAAACTAAGGCTGTTGCAGTTTATGCTACTGAAAATTATATTTGGCTGATTTCATAAAAAAAATACAAAACTACGTAGTCACTTTTAGCAGTATGTATAAACATACGTATATGAAGAAGATGGCAAATTTTGCTGTGTTTCTGGATTCTGGTCATTGCCCTGTGAAGAAAGCATTTTTACATAAATGGGAAAGTGTGTTGGTGCAAGGTAAGTCTATACCGATGAGTGGAATTCGTCAGAAACAGGAAATAAATTGTTAATTTCCAAACATGAACAAATCATAATCGTTTTTATAGGGCAATGATGAAACTTTTCAAAGTATCTAGAAGAATTACCCGGAAAAGATCATGGAGTAAAAGAATGAAGGAGTATCCTTCGTTTCATTCACATACAAAGATCTTTTAAAACTCAAATTAAATTTTACTTATTTTAATTATAATATATTTCTTAATATTAAACCCACATACCAGGAAAAGGAAAATGTCCCACCATTCCTGCAAAAGCATCATTTCTCAAGGACTTTTGACGAGACACGTGCAACTCGAGTTATTAACTCAGCTATGAAAAATAAAATCGAAATAAATAAACAGGTGGGGGAAGGGAGGAGGAATCGACAGAGAGAGAAACTATGAACACTTATTGAATGCGACTTTTCTTTCTTCAAACCCTCCTCTTATGTAGTAGTTCAACTCCCTTTCTCAGCTGCCACTTCGTTTTCCACCCTCACCGTACTATAACCCTCTGTTTTTTTCTTTTTCTTTTAAGACATTGTTGATTCCTGAAAATTTCACTTAGGAATCAGTGAAGTGTGTGCTGTTTTTTGGGAGGAAAGGGTCTGGTCATAAGTCTTTTAGTTCATTGTAATTTGGTCGGTCTCGAAATGGGAAGGCACTCTTGCTGTTACAAGCAGAAGCTAAGAAAAGGTCTTTGGTCCCCTGAAGAAGACGAAAAGCTCTTGGCCCATATAACCAAGTACGGCCATGGTTGCTGGAGTTCCATCCCTAAACAATCTGGTAATTTTCTTAAGCATGTATGTATGTATGTATTGATGAATTGCTGCTAAAATATGAATACTTTTTCAGGCCTGCAGAGATGTGGAAAGAGTTGCAGATTAAGGTGGATTAATTACTTGAGGCCTGATTTAAAGAGAGGCACATTCTCTCAAGAAGAAGAAGATCTCATAATTGAACTTCATGCAGTTCTGGGGAATCGGTATAATTATTATTGGTGTTTTCTTCCTCATGTGTGTTTTATGATTTTATTGCGGAACTCTGTAAGAATTGTTTTCATCTTCTTCAGGTGGTCGCAGATAGCTGCACAATTGCCTGGGAGAACCGACAATGAAATCAAGAATCTATGGAATTCTTGCTTGAAGAAGAAGCTTAAGCAGAGAGGTATCGACCCTGTCACGCACAAGCCGCTCTCGGAGGTTGAAAATGATGAAGACGGCAACAAGATTCAACCGACATCTGATGAACAGAACCTTATTGGTTCGACGATAATTGATGGCAGCAATACTCAACCATCTGATTCGGTGGGTCATTTTCAAATGCAGCAATTGAATTATGAAGTTTCACCGTCTAGCTCGAACCCGACTCACTGGTTCACCCAAACCAGCAAATATTTCGATATCGACACCGAGTTTTCTTCAAACTCGATGATGTCAACCCTTCTCCCACCATTGACAAGCGCATTCCTCTCCGACAGTCCTTCAATGGCGGCAACTTACGCAACCCGCCATTGGGTAGCCGATAGTGCCTCGGCAGGCTCAGCTAACAACAACAACACAAGCGCCAGCGCCGAGCTACAAAGCAACGACAATTCCTTCTATGATAACAGCGGTTTCTCTTGGGGATTAATGGAAAACCATGCAGAAGAAACCAAATGGAGTGAATATCTCGACAACCCTTTGTTAATGGCGGCGGCTTTGCAGAATCAAACGCCGCAATCTTTATACAACATCGAGATAAAATCAGAACCATATTTCTTGAATTCATCGCCATCATCAAACACTGTGTGGGGTCAAAGTCAAAACCAAGAGCAGCCCTTACAAAATCCCGATATATTTGGTAAGGATATCCAGGGACTGACTGCTGCTTTTGGACATGTTTAGCTCTTGCATCATTCAGCCTGTTCTTTTGTTGTTGTTTTAGTGTCTTTTACTTCGCCTTGTTGCATGCGACCATGTTTGTGCATTGAAATGTTGGAATTCTATTTGTTGATAAACAAAAAAGAAAAGGAATTCGTTAGGAATCCATGGGTTTTTTTCGAGCATTGTTTTGTTAACATCTTGCTTCTCAAATTGTTTAATAGAAAATGAAAACTTCGAAAAAAAATAATAAGTGTAATGAATTTGAATTGTGTTGATCTTATCTTAACCCACATTTCAAAGAATTAAAACAATCTTTAATACCTTTAATTATGTTTTCAATTGCTTGATTAACACAAAAGGGCGTTACTGGACCCGATCGCTATTCCCCAATCCCCACCACTCGCCCTAGTCTTTGCCCCCATCACGTACACACTAGGATGCGTTAAAAAAACGTCTACATGACGGATTCATGATCCCATTCGATATGATTTTATTTTTACATATAAAACTTAAGTTTCTAATTAGATTAGATCATATTAAATTTTATTTAAAAGTTTAATCAAATTAATTGTATTCAATTTTATGAAATTCTCACCTCAATTCTTTATAATTATTAAAAACACCATTTTATGTATCTATATATTATTAATTAGATTTCAATCTAGATTTATAGTGTATAAAATACTAAATTTGTGATGTAAAGTTATACTTTATTTTATTTTTATGTTTTAGGATTGAATAAATTAATATTTTATTTAATACTTTTTATTTAATAAAAATATAAATATTTTAAATCAGACCAAAATAGTTTTTTTAGAAACGGTTTAAATAAATAAAAGTATTTTTAAGCTTAAAATTAAATTTGTGTCAACAAAAAAATCCACCCTGATCCAGGAGTTGTCCACGGTAACAGTATGTGTTATCCAAAAGGTTTTTTTTTTAAATAAGTTTAATATTTTGAAGTACATTATTTTGTTATTTTGATCGGATAATTACTTTATAATTAAAGAGTTGGAATAAGGGGTCAGGCGATTTTACTGAAATATTACTCTGACATGAAATAATTATCAGTCATGCATCCTTTGGCGTAATTTTATCTATCTAGCGTCTTTTCCGATAAGGCGCGATCGTCATCGGCACCTTTTCGGGGTTTTGTCCGAGCTGACACTACGCCATGAAAGGCATAGATGGTTATCCGCGCCTTATCCGAGCTGGTGCCACGTAATGACGATCCGCGCCTTTCTGGGGCATTTGACACGTATACATAAGGCGTGAATTACCATCCGCGCCTTCCATTATTGATTTAAAAAATCTCGGCCTTTAAACACTCCCCTTGCCTATAAATTATTCTTATCAAAATAATAATCTAATTATATAACGATAATTAAAAGTACATTTTATTATTTAAATACATACTCTGTGTCAGCATTGTGATCAATTAATAGCCTAATTTCTTTCAATTCATCTGGTAAACCCTATTTTCTTGCACTTGACCACCTATTCAATGAAATATTTTTTATTATGTACTAAATAAAATTATTAATATACGAAATCAATATTATAGTTACCTTAATAATAGCGGAAAGTCTAACGGGTTTTTCACCACCGAACATAAAAAGGGCATGCGATACCACACCTAATACTTAAGCAGAAGGAGACATCCGCCAATAGATTTTTTTCTATAGTTAGTAGCTTGACACATTTCCGTATACAGAAATATCAAAATTGTGGAGCCCCAACTCAGTGTACCAGTATGATGAAAATCGGTGAGGTGATGTAACCACATACAATTAACTTGGTTGCGCGCTTTGTTCGGCATCAAAAGCCCTCATATGAGTTGTAGTATGCAAGACCGTGTATACATTTTAACTTGCTCCTCGGAGGCATCACCAGTTAAATGTTGGAAAGTTGCATACTACCAATTTAACGGAATTCAACCACCATTGAAATTAGGCGGGATACCTCCAAGATACTCCTCGCACAATGAATGCTAGTCACCATGCGCCACCCCATAAATCACATCTCTATCTACCGGAAGCCCCAAATGCATGAAAACATCCTCCAGCATAAATTGTGCACTCTTCACACAGAAGATAGAATGTGTGTGTATTTGATCTCCACCGCTCAACCAATACAGAAATAAAGTTGGATTTTAGTGCCCTTCATATTTTGCTACGTAACTGAATCTAGTCTCGACTAAATACAGTCATACACGGGTTGGTATCTCTAACTTAAGATTACAAATGAAGGCATCTAATATACGATCTCTATCCTAATTTAATAAATGTTATAGAAATTAAAATATAAACTAAAACTAAACAAATTGAATAAATATTTTTTAACAATAATTAAAATTAAAATAAAATTTAAAATTATTATCGTATCAGCAAAATGTCTCGAGATATTATGTTCATCTAAACGTAGCAAATCGCCTTCCATTTTATAACGGTAAAAATTAATAAAAAAATTAATAAAAAATTAATAAAATAATAAATTATTAATTTATTATAATAAAATATTTTACATTTTTAATAGAATTTGATCTTTTCGAGAATTCGAGCGGGTTTGAGTTTGAGAGGGTTTGGATGTTTGTGTTTGGTGTGTGTTGAATTAAGAAATGAGGGGTTTAGTCGGGTGGGGTATTAATGTGGGAGGTGTAAACGGTTGAGTTATAGCGCGTGTTAGAAACCTCATAAAGGCGCGAATGACTGTCCTTACATGGGGCCAGTTCAGATAAGGTGCGGATGACCATTTATGTCTTTCATAACCTGGTATCAACTCAGACGAAACCCATTTTTATCAGAAAAATGTTAGATCGATAAATTTGAAGAAATGGTTTCTAAAAGGTAATTATTACCTGTCAGATAATATTTCGGTAAAAAGCCAAGGTGTTACATGCCACTCCATGCTTAGGTAAGAAAAATACAGAAGGAAGGAAATAAAATTGAGATTTAATTGAACTTTCTGGTCCGTACACGGAGGATGGGAAAGTGACAGAAAATGTAATTAGGGCCATAGAAGTAGTGCTGTATTGTACCTCCTTTTCTTCACCAACAGTATCTTAAGCAACACTTTATAAACCAAGAAACTTCCGATTCAAGACCCAGAGTTCCAGAAAATATCAATCCAAATTAATAAAATATATATTATTAATATGATTTTTATTGACAAACGAATTTGAATATAATTATTAAACTCTTTAAAGACATAAATGAAAATATATAATAATTATTGATACATGACATCTCATCATTCATAATCAATAAATACACTATGCATCTCCATGATGAAGTTTAGTTTGTTTCTTTGTTTTGGAAGATTAGCATAAAGGGTTTGAGACGAAGGCTGAAGCTAAGAATTTGTTAATAATGAGTCAAATATCTTAGCTACCAACTGAAATGATTTTGGGCCTGGAAGTACGGCCTGGCTTTGCTTGTCATGTGCTGATTTATTCTTCTTGGATATGTGACCTGTGTAGCTCATTAAGATGTATTTGGTTCACGGAATGTAAGATTACCAGTAAGAATGTAAGATTATCAGTGAGAATAGGATTGCTGAGAATGTTATATTTTGTGTTTGATTGGTTTAGTAGAAATGTAAGATTACCGTGTTTGGTTAAAGGAATAAAAGATTATTGGAATGTATATTTGACCAAATTGTCCTTATTATATAATTGTTTTTTAACAAGTTGAAAAATATTTATATATTTTCTTTAAAAAAATTAAATTCATAAAATATATATATATATTTTACAAAATTAAAAATATAAAAAGGTTTAATAAAAAAGTAAAATTTTATTTTAACCCCTAAACTTCATATAAAATTTTAATTATACTTTTTGTAAATCTAAAGCATAAATTTGTAATTTAACATTCGTAGTATTTTTATTATTTAATGACAGAAGAAATATATTTTTGAACAAAAAATTAAGGGCATTTTAGTCCAAAACGTCGTTAATCTAACAATACCTAATGAATGGGAGGTAATGACATTCTCGGTAATATACCCAAAAAAATCTACTATTGGTAATAAAACATTACCGGGAATGAGATTCCCGACCAACCAAACATGGTAATGTGAATTTTATTTCCATGAAAATCTCACATTCCTTGAACCAAACATGCCCTTAGGGTGCGTTTGGTTCACGGAATGTAAGATTACCAGTGGAAATAAAAGATTACCAGAGAATAGGATTATTGAGAATGTTGTATTTTGTGTTTGGTTGGTTCACGGAATGTAAGATTACCGTGTTTGGTTAAAAGTAATAAAAGATTATTGAAATGTATATTTGACCAAATTGTCCTTATTATATATTTGTATAATATTACAAATTGTAAATATTTATATATTTTCTTTAAAAAATTAAATTCATAATATTTATATAATTTTTTTACAAAATTAAAAATATAAAAAATGTTTAATGAAAGGGTAAAAAAAATTTTAACCCCTGAACTTCATATAAAATTTTAATTATAGATTTTTTTTTGTAAATCTAAAATAATTTAAGGATAAATTTGTAAGTTAACCTTCGTAGAATTTTTATTATTCAATGACAGAAGAAGTATATTTTTGAAAAAAAAATGAAAATTTAAGGGCATTTTGTAATGTTGCAATACCTAAGGGAAGGGAGGTAATGACATTCCCGGTAATATACTCCAAAAAATCTACTATTGGTAATAAAATATTACCGGGAATGAGATTCCCGACCAACCAAACATGGGAATGTGGGATTCCATCCCATAGAAATGTGGGATTCTCATCTCATGGGAATCCTACAATCCTTGATCCAAACATCCCTTATAATCATCGATCATCATTACAATTGAATTTTCCTTTTCCAAAACCTGACACTGTCCTTGACTTTTCACCTTCTTCTATAAGCGATTTGACCAAACTGACACATATTTAACGATTATATAACTCAAATTCTTCAACTATTTGAGTTTTAAATTTGTTATTAGTGGTAAGAAATTTATTTTTATGTTAGTATTTTTTAAATAGTTATTATATTTTATATTAATATATTTATGTAAATATTATTTTTTTATTAAAATAATATTTATATAATTATTATTTATTTAGAATTATTAATTTTTTTGTGCTAATTATATTGTTTTGTCTAGAGTTATAATGAAAAACGAAATGTTGTTGCGATTGGATAT